GATAATTTTAGAAGCTAGAATTATGGGAAGCAAACTCTTGAGACAGCAATGCACATTAATCTCAAGCTGGATCCCTTGGGTGTTTGTGTGTGGAAGACCCCTGTCCATCTTGCAGAGGGAGGCCTCCGATGCCTGCCCCCAAATCCTACCCGGATTGCGTTGCTGACCAGCAACTTTGTGATCGCAAGAGGGAAAAAAGGCAGCTAAAATTATCCATCAGGTTGGATCCTGCTACTTTAGCTTTTCCCCCTCTCCCAAATTTCAAATCAGCAGTGATTTTTTTTTTTCCAACTCTTGTTTTGTTTCCAGACAACTACATTTCTAGATAAGCCCTTGCCAACAAAACTAATGTGGGGGAAGAAAACACGAGATGCTGATTAATAAGATCTTCAAGGCCTTTGCAAGGAGGGTCTGTTTTTGTTATTGCCATGACAACCCTAATCATAATGACAGGACTTTCTAACCCTGGAGAACAATTTCCATCGGTCGGACGCTGTTAGCATCATCATCCTCCTCATCACCGTTATTATTATTATTATTATATGGACAGCGGCATGATGTCATCGCCTTGCTTGGGACCCGGGGCTGGTGGGGTGATAAAGAAGCGGGAACGGTCTGTCTGCTTGGCACCCGTCCACTTTTGGCTCTTCGGTCTGCAAGGATGAGCGATCAAACATTTTAATCATACAGCAAAATCTCCCTCCCACGAGTCCCCCTCCAAAAAGAATGCATTTCATCTTCTTTTTCAAAAAGCCCTCACTATTATTATCCGAAGGCGAACATTCTCTTCCCCAGCTTGCTGAAAGAGCAAACGTGGTCGCTTTAAGTGAGCCGCACGCTTGCCCCCTTCTTTCTGCTGAATTTTTGTAAGCTTCGTCGTGAGGTTTCTTCTCTCTTTCGCCTTCCACCTTTAGCCCTCATTTTTATCTCCTGCAAGACCAAGGGGGTATCAGTGGAGTTTCTGAACGGGGCAATGATGTGTGTGTGTGTGTGGGGGGGGGGCTTTTCTTATTTAAATGTAATTTTATTGAAAGTTTTAAAAACAAGAGCAGAAATTAATACAGACTAAACTAAAGGAAGGAAAAAGGAGAAAGGAAGAAAGAAAAGAGAAAGCTAACGCTCAAAAAGAAAAGAAAGGAAAGAAGAAAAGTAGAAGGAAAATTGAAAAGAAAGAAAAAAGAGAGAAGTGGCTTTCGATCTTCTTTACAGCAGTTATAAGTACAATTGTAGTTTTACCTCTTTCTCTAAAATCACGCGGGGTGGGGGGCTTTTCCAGGGTGGAAGGGCATCTTGCAAAATTTGCTCAGGGGAGCCCCACGATTTCTTGGATATTACAATTCCAGATTTTCTTCCTTTCAGCTCATCATCGTCTGTTTGCAACCTCTGAGCCATATACTCTAAATCTGTGTTTTTCAAACTTGGTAACTTTAAGATGTGTGGACTTCAACTCCCAGAATTCCCCAGCCAGCATGTGTGGACTTCAACTCCCAGAATTCCT